GAAGAGAATAAAGCATTCAAGGAAAAAAAGAGAGCCTAAACAGAAAGTACAAGAATGACTGAGGGAAAGGCAAGTGGCTCAGACAGACTGAATGAAAGAGTTAATGCAAGGTATTTGCAGGAGGTAATGTTAGAAAGGGAAGTTAGGGCATATTATGAAGGATCTTCAAGAAAGAACTAATGAGAAGGAAAAGAAAAAGTATTTGTGATTTAGTAATATTATAAAGGTAACAATATTTCTTCAATAATTCAAGCATTTCTTGATGGAAAATAACTATTCTGTGAATATCTTGAAAAAAATAATGCAAAAGTTAATTCACAGACAGTCATGGTCTCAAAACTAAGTTATACACTTATATTTAGATTCTCTTTACCACCATCATCTTCACCACAAGAAAACCCTTAGAGATCCCTTCAGTAAGAAATAGCTTTGTTCAGAATAAAGGAAAAGGTGGAATCAGAGGCCACAGCCAAACACTAAATTCCGTCTCACAGGCAAATGGAATGGATAAGGGAAAATGGTATCCATAAATGTTTTTCACTTTCAGGAATCAGTTTCTTAAAAAAGGAGAACGTGGGGAGGGAGGATAAAAGGGAAATTTCTTTGTTGTCCTTTGCAATGCTCTGCAGGGCAAGGGTAAAACCCAGTGCCTTTGCTCTTCCCATTACTTAATGTGAACAAATAATAATTAGGAAAATTATCCAACAAATATTTATTATGGACGTCCTCTGTGAGCCGGACCTAGTAATAAACAAAGACTTCTCCTTCATCTTAACCTTTTTAGAGATTATTTTACACAGTGCATTTTTAAAGGTTATTTTACTCAGTGCCTTTGCAGATAAACCAGCTGTTCCAGCGAAGAGGTGACCCTATGGCTGCTGGTATGCATTATGATCATAGTATTTTCCCCAAAAGCCAAGGATAAGCTTCTGACACAGCAATCCTGTAATTCAACACTCTTCTATGTAAAGAATGCTTTATAGGCAGAACTGAGTATACAGGGTGGGAATCTGAGCTGAATACAGCTCCTTCTAGATATTTTGATTGATGAGACCATGCAATCCAGCAGAGCAGGCTGGAATTCTGCCAAATGAGCTTAGATTTCCCCCCCCCAACCCCCCAAAAACTGACATTTATCGGTCTAGAAGTAATGGAGGAGCCAGTATCTTTTCTTTATGAATTATCAGAGTTGGCTTAAGTCCTAAGGAGACCTTAAGCATTGAAAGGATTATGGTACCCCCCTCTCCTCCATACACATAATTTAAGATGAGTATAATTAATTCCAATAAAGTTCTGATTTTCTCATGAGGACAACTTCAATAATTTAATTTAAATTCCAAATATGAAACTATTTTCAGAAAAAAATTAAAGATGCCCCTATATTTTGATAGATGTTGTTATATTAGTTCCAGGTATACAACATATCAATTTCACCTTTGTATACACAACCAAGTCATCACAAGTCTAGTTACCGTCCATCACTATACAATTAACTCTCTTCACTCATTTCACTTCTTCCCTCAACCCCCTTCTAATAACCACCAGTCTATTCTCTGTATCTATGAGTTTTATTTTATTTGTTCATTTGTCTTTTTAGAGTCTACATATAAATGAAATCGTACAATATTTGTCTTTTCTGTCTGATGTACTTCATTTAGCATAATGCACTCACAGTCTATTCATGTTGTTGCAAATGGCAAGATTTCCTTCTTTTTAATGGCCAAGTAGTATTCCATATATATGTATTACATATGTATGTATGTATGTATATATATGTATATATGTATATATATACATGTGTATATATATATATATGTATATGTAAAATACACACACACATCATATCTTCTTTATCCATTCATCTACCGATAGACACTTAGGTTGTTTCCATATGTTGGTTATTATAAAGAATCCTGCAATGAACATAGGGATACACATATCTTTTCATTTTCTTTAGATAAACACCCAGAAATGGAATAACTGGGTCGTAAGGTAGTTCTGTTTTTAATTTTTTGAGGAACCGCAATACTGTTTTCCATAGTGGCTGCACCAATTTGCATTCCTACAAACACTGCACCAGGGTTTTCTTTTCTCCACATCCATTTGTTATTCCCCTCATCTACTTTGTTAAGCATATGCATAATATGAGTATTTTATCACTGTATATTATGAACTGATAAAGGTCCAGTGGCTGAGAATCATCTAACTTAAACTTAGCCGAGGCTACTATTACCTTTCCTAGTATTTGATTTCATACACTATCTTCTGCCTTGTGCCCATTCCAGTGTGCACTCAAGAAAAGAGACTATAATAGTGCCTTCCTTTGTACCCCCAACCTCCTCTTTTAGTGGTGGATCCTTAGAGACCCCTTCCACAATTCAAGGGTCTTTCATCACAAAGAGTTTGAAAAGCATTGGTTGTAATCACTGTATCTACCAGTGTTGCATGACAAGAGTATGGAAGAAACTATAGAATAGGAAATTTCCCAAAACAACACACCTGGTCAGTCCAAGGGGTCAACAGTTAAATGAAATACTACAATGGGCTCTATAACCACTATGCACTGCAGCATGTGCCTCGCAGTCATGCACATCACAGGTCTGCAATAATCCCCTTGGAAGGGTCCTTGAATGGCATTCTTTTACTAGCAGGCTCTTGCCACAGCACAATATTCCTAAACACAAAGTAGGTTTTTATAAGCTTTGCAATTCATATACAAAGTATATAGGCTTTCTATGCTTTATACACATGTGCATCAGTGTTTTCTGTCTTCAGTTGTAAAATTCTGGAGCATAGATACTAACACTCCATAGTTTTCTTTATAGAGCACTTTGTGCAGTGCTATGTGCCACTTGACACTTGAAAATATTCTCCAATAATATGATAATGATACTGGTATCATCACCCAATGGATGAGATACTGTAAACCAGGAAAGAATGGAGTAATTAAGAGATACCTATAGCCAATTTTTCTATGACATTGTCTGCCTTTGGCAAAAAGAAGCCTGCTGAATATTCATCCAGCATATATATGCAAGTTTAGTATTATCATAGTCTGTATTTGCAGCTCTAATTAATAAAACCCAATTCTAGCAGGGCCTGAGATCATAGGCCCAAATTTCTGCCCTTACTATCTCATCAGTGAGTGGTCCCATCCCCATTCCATTCATATCTATTGTCTAACCTCTTTGTCAGAGTTTATGAAAGCAGAGTCTGTAGTTAGTTAGCTGCTGCTGACCCTTATCCTGAGGCCCTGTGCTATAGTTGCTATGGAAACTGTCCCCTTCTTCTCCTAACAACCTATTCTGGCTCTCTGCCTCCGCGTGGCACTCTTTTCTGTTTGCAGAAGAGGAGGCCTGCACTTTTCTCCATGCTTTTTACCAGATTCAAATCTGCAAATGGTGGGGCGGAGGTGTAGCAGAACATTGTCTCATGTGTCATCTAAGGTGAGGCACCTCATCTGACATTCTGCCAGTACTCCTTTATTTTACCCACTCTACTACAAAAAGGACTTTAAGGCCATGTCAAATTTTGTTGATATAGTTGACATATAATATTAGTTTCAGGTAGGACCATGTCCAAATTGACTGCAGAATGTTGTGACTATTTTTGCTCCAATACATTCTCCATGATAGGGACCAAGACTGCTGTGAGGCCTTAACACATAGACACTGTCCAATCCTCCTCAGGGTTCCCCAAGAGGAAGTGGATCAGAATTTGGCTCACGGATAGCCTTGCCAAATCAGGTTACATGCTGCTGTCTATCCTGTATCATCCCCAAAATATAAGGCAAATGGGACAAAAAAAAAAGTGCTTCTGGAGCCCTAGCGTGAAAGACAGGCTCTTGGATACATACATGTACAGGATGACTCAATGTCCTGGGTTAAAGAGCTGGAGTGCAGAGTAGGTGGTGGAAACGTGATGAGGAATGCATGAAGGTAGACTAACGGCACACACCATTTTTACAAGGATGTTCCAGACAGCCATAAAATGCGTGTGCCTCCTTAGTCCTCTTTCCCATCCCCTGGTTCTTTGGTTTTAGAAGGGTCAACCTCTTCTTTGGTTCAAACGGTGCCCCTTCGGTTTTGAGAATTCCCTAGGGTAAGTAATACCATAGTCTCCCAAGGTTACTCAACTCACTGTCACATTACCAGTAGTTGGGAAAGTCTTTCTGGGTTTTACTCATATCCCCCTTGCTGCAGTCTGAGCTCATTGCACTCAAGTCCTGCACTCAGTAGAGATGGAGACTAGCCAACCACTATCTTCAGAATAACAACTCACCAGGGACTCAGGGCCGGAAGGTCATTCTGTCCCTCCAAAACTGCGCAGCCTTCCAGGGCACTCCCAGGGCCTGGGGCAATGAGGACAGGGAAACCGAGGATGGAGCCTAAGGCCCTGGCAAGCAGTGATATAAAAATAAAAAATAAAAATAAAAATAAAGCACCAGACAATGATAATACACACCCCGACACAGATGGAGACGACGATACAAAACCGAGACAGAGAGGGACAAGATGGCTCCCTCAGTTCAGGCGAGTCTGCGGAATTGCCAGATAGTACTTATAGGGGAAACATCCTAACTAGAAGCTTCTTCCGTCGCTGAGGCAATCGACTCGCCCCTCCACCCAGTCCCTCAGAATCCTCACCCCTGCCCAAGTCAGAGTGGGAGATCCCTCTGGAGAACGAGTGGGGGGGGAGGTGTAGGGGGTGGCCACCACCCCCGCGGCGGAGCGGGACCGCAGAGCCG